CTAAACCGAAGAGACATGGTTTTTTGTGCGTAGCATTCTTTACCACTGATGCACGTGGTACCCAATCATCCCAAGTCCTCATATACGAACCTTTGACTTCATTGTTTTCTGCAGTGCACCAACGCCGGTCCCTTCTTGGACCTTCTGGAGGGCGAAGGTGCGCCACGCGGCCGACTTAGCTCCGCCCGCGCTTCTGACGAGTCTCAGGGACAAGTGGATACAAGTGCCCACTGAGTGACGTTCCTGAATACAATGGTTTGACGGAATCGTGAGCTAGTGAGTCGAACAATAGAGCTTTTGAAGTTTTGAAGTTCGAAGTCATTGGGATGCCATGATTCGACGTGATCGACTCGTGCAGCGCATATGCGGAAGGCGCGTGTGCAGAGCATGCGCAAACTAATAGCTCGTCCAGACATGAGCTGTCAAACATAGATTGTTTAAAGCATCTTACCAGCTAGCATATATCATTGCATGACCACGCCGCGCACACATGAGCCGATCATTTATTCGCATTGTGCATGCACAAATCTAACGGTTTATACTATGCAAACCTTAGTGTTGTCAGTCTAGGCATGACGCCGGTACATGGACAGGTTAAATACTTGCCAAATGCCACTAGGCATGCATGAGTACACCGCGGCCCCCGTCATGAGTGCCTCAGTGCCCCCGTCATGCATATGATTCATCGAATGCGTGGGCGGGTCTGAAACATTTAGACGGTCACGTATATCATTACTAGATCGACTAGCCTGCTAGGGCCGCTGCCACAACGGTGCGGGCCTGGCAGGTGCTGGCCCGCGGCTAAGTAGCGTTGGGAGTGAGTGCAGCGCGCGCGTCGGATAACCACAGTAACTTAGATCCGCGATCATTGATCGAAGTTTCGTCTCAATAATGTCATGGGGGCCCAGGGAGTCTCGTATGAAGGTGTGGAACTCAGCATATATTCTTACTTGTATGTCCTTTGAAATGCCCTGTCCGATGACAAGCCAGGCAACTCGATTCTGATAATGGTTCTGATTTTGGTGACACCAACTGACAGGCAGCATGCGGTGGCCAAATGTAGGAATGCACCCCAAAAACTTGGATGCTCGGTAAAATTTGTATATCAGAGTGCAAATAGTTCACGTTGAGTCCGCGCTCGATGATCTTCGCCCCAGTGAAGTATCATCGCCGGAAAGCATTTGCGTTGCTGGCAGCCGGGCCCTTCTCTCGGAAGTGCGTCCTTCTCCGGATGCTATCCTCAACGCTCCCGCCCTTTTCCAACCCGTACGCACTCTTCTCGAGACCGCCGAGATAACTCTTCCCAGCCGCAGCTTTCGCCGCCGCCGCATCATCTCGATCCTCCTTCTCGGCCGCCCGTTTTAGACGATGCACGCGGCTGGCTTCGTGCACGTTGGCGTCCTGCTGCATCTCGGCCAGCCGACGGGCCTTCTCTTCCTCTGTGAGTTTACCTGGAAACCAGGAAGGAGGGAGAAGTCACAACTTTAACTCTGCTCTTCTGTTTCCGCTCATCTTTGCGGAGGGCGGAAAGCGGTGACGAGATATGGAAATATGACGAAGCGGGTTGAAGGGAAAGCATCACGAATACCACGGATGCATGGAAGGTTTCAAGAAAAAGTAATGACTTCAAGCAATGGGCTGTCCAGAGGCCAAAGTATAAGAACAGTGCAGAGTGTTTTCAAAAAGTTTGCCGGTCTTCTAAGACCTTTGGAGACTTTCAATTCTTAGGGGAAGAAACTTGTGCCCCACAATATCGAAGAAATTAGGTAGACGTTCTAACAAGGCCGCGGGTCGGAGAAACAATGCCTGCTGGTGCCAATCAAATGGCGGCAAACGGATCGTGACGCTGAGATGGTTCGAGGGGACTTAAAGTGACAGAATGTCGGCAAAGCAGACTTTTGCCAGCTTCTCTAACCCAGCTCAGGAACAAAAGCCGCTTTAGACACACAAGCCACAGACCACATCTCATATACTGCCAGAGACCATTACTCATATACTCCGTCCCAAGACCTGCAGTTCAGCACGAACTCTGCAAAAATCTGTCCACGACAAGCGATTGCGTCTTAGCAGTAGCCATGCACTTGGCGCGCTCCCAGCGTTAGCAAAACCTTCCAGACTAAGAATCCGGGATTCGCGTTGAAAGACTTCGTCAGTCGATTGGTATGGTTTGACGCAAAGCAGATTCCTCACCAGGCACGTGCCTAACCCTGGGCGGCGCTTTCGCAGGCTCCTCCGGCTTCTTATACGGCACAGGGGGGGCATCGCCGGTCCGCTTTGCAGGCAGCTGTAGCCCCCCCCTTCCGGGGATGAGCCCATAGCCCTTCAACTTCCCGGGCTCGTCATCTGAATCCTCGGCTTCCTCCTTCTTAACCATCCCACTAACCGGTCCCGGTTCAGGGCGCTCAGCGCCTTCTTCCCCGTCGGAAGCATCTTCCTTTTTGACCCTCACGTCACGAGCCCCCTCACTGCTATCACTCCGTTGCGGCTCGTCCTTGACGGCCGTGCGATCATCCCCGTTCCGACCGCTGCTCTCTCTCAACTCGGATCCTCTCTGAGCCTTCCGCTTCCCCTCTTCTCCGCTTCTCTCTTCATCGCTCTCAGGGGTGTCATGCCGTTTCCGATCTTGGTTCGCCCGCAGTTCCTCGTCATCTTTCCTAGAGAATTCATCCCGTCTCTTCTCAGTGTGTGGCCCTCGTTCCTCCCCTTTTTCACGTTCCCCGTTCCGCCCTCTTTTCTCCCCGGCGCTTCGTACTGGTTGCCTTTTCTCTGCTTCTTCGTCTGAGCTGTCATGCTGCTGTCTCTTCCGCGGATCTTCTGGCGACCTTTCCCGACCATCCCTGCGGGGGGACCTTCCTCCGCGAGAATGCCGCCCCCCGTTCCGGTTCCGGTCCAAAGACCTCTCTCGGTCATCCCTTCCTCCCTGATGATGCGCCCCTCCATTCCGGAACCGGTCCGGAGACCGCCGATGCCTCTCTGGCGAATAGCCCCTACCGTACCGCCCCCCATACGACCTCCCCAGTTCCTCCCTCCTGCCCCGAGGCAAAACATCTCTCCTGTTTCTTTCCAGCATGCGATCTCCGTACCTTGCACCCTCCCGGTCACGGTATTCTTCTTCCCTCCCGTTCACTCTTACAGGCGACCGGCCCCTGTGTCGAGAGTCGGTCCCCAACTCGTCCCCTCTATGCGTCGTCACCAAATCCCTTTCTTTATCGATAAACCCTCCATGAGAATGTCCGTTCCGCCCTCCTCCCGCCGGAGCCTCTTCGAGCACTGGCGCACGTTTCTTTTCTGGGGGCGGCTTGGACGATTTCTCATCCTCTGACTCACTCTCCGAGTCGGACTCCGACGAGTCCGCCCGTCTGCGTTTCTTCCGCTCTTCTCTCTTCCGCTTCCGCTCGGCCCTCCGCTCCTCCTTCGCCCGCCGTTTCTCCTCCTTTTTCTGGGCCTTCTTGTCAGCAGCCTGGCAGAAAGTACAAAGGGGAGTGAGCAGGCATGAACACCAGCTGAAAGGACTGAAGCGCAAAACGATTACACACCTGTTGGCACACATGGTCAAAGAAACGGCGACGCCAGCAATTCGACGCCGATGGGCTCAGAGTGAGGACTGACAAATCCACACAGAAAGAAACAAATGAATCAGGAGGGAAGAAGACCCGATGCTCCAAATCATCAGCTATACGAGAATCTCCTCGATGTTTACAAGCGCTAAGGCTTCAAACGAGGCCAATCGCAGCATCGGTTTCATCAAAACTTTCAAGATGAAACTCATGAAAGGCGCTGAATGTTTTGGAAATATCAGACCGTCTGTCAAAACATAAAAGCAGCTCTGAACCAAAGCTGGCTCTGAGGTCTAACCTGTTGCTTGATCATCATCATCTGCATCGGGTTCTCCTTGATTTTTGCAAGCGCGGCCTGCTCCTGCTGCTTGATCGCCAGCAACGGGTCGGAGTGCAGCTTCCGCCACGCGTCGTTCTTCGAGGCGGGGTCGTCCGCTTGCTGAAACAGCGACCCCGGCTGAGAAAAGTCCTGCATGTCAAGACAGAGAGTGCCTAAAGGTTAGTGCTCTGTATGAGGACGTTCCTTCTATGCTTCTTTGAGAGCAACCATCAAATGATGCCGCAGCTTTTGTGGAAGCCAATGCTCGGTGGTACGAAGTCGTCCGTTTCCTTGAAGAGCACCTCAAGCTGGGAGACGTACGGTAGAGTGAGTGATAGAAAGAGCTGGGGCGAAGGCAAATATTTAACAGGTTTTCAAAATCAGCACAGTGACGTCCTTCGTGGTTCCTCAAGACGCAACGATAATTGAATATTAAATCTTCCAATGAGAACTTCTGTATAGCGCCTATGATACCTTGCAAAGATGCTGGGCGATTTTATAGTTTGAACAGCACCTCCCTTTGAGGACATACTGTATTGTGTTGGGAAAGATGCGACAGAGAATCAGGTACAGATGCATCACTTCAAGATGCGTAAGTACAGCGCCGCCTTGCGCAAGATTTTTAGGGGATACAACGCCTTTGGAGAACCAATAAGAGGCACTTGAATCTTACCTTGCTGATCGTCTCAGTCTTGCTCGCTTCCTCAACCGGCTTTCCCAAGAGGTACTCCTCAGTTGACGGTGGCGCAGCCTCAGACGGTTTCCCGACTCCGAGGCCAGACTCATACAAGAAGTCCAAACGCTCTTGCTGACTGCAGCAAGAAGCAATTGGTGTCAATGGCAGGAAACACAGATAAAAGGGGGTGCTTTGATGCAATCAGGCTCGCCGTGTGTATTTTAAACGCAACTTGGTGCTCAGCAGTACTGCCCCAAGCCAAAGCAATTCAGTGACTTAATGAACCGCAACTAAGGCAATCGCACCAACTATGAAGTGCATCTTTTCCAAAGCAATATGTAGACAGCCACAAACATTCTGCCAGCAATCAAGGCTGCCTGCCTTTAAAGTGTCTTGTTGACGAAACTATGAGGGGACGGGGCCCTGTCGAAGGTTGAGTGCTCCACATGCGACAAGCTCAAGATTTGCATACAAATAGAAGCAGTCTACCTATAAGGTGCTTGCTGCAAAAAAGCAATGAAGCAGGTTCAGTGCACCAGGATGAACAACTCAAAAGCAGAATTTCAAGGGGTTTGGCTTCTTGCACCTTACTCGCTAAACCTTGAGAGTGACTAGACGATTGATGACCGCAGACATGTGAGACGAGCAGAGAGTTGTGCAACTGTCTTGCTGAATTGAGACTCAAAGCTGGACTCAGAGAACCAAAAGTCAATTGCTACAGTGACAAGCAATGGGGAAAGAATTGTACTCAAAAATTCACAGTCCCATAATCACTTGCACAGTTGGACTCCAAAAGGTCACCTGAAGTGGACGGAAACTGTCAACAGCTATAGAAGAATACAGGGCGAGAAGAGGGACTATGTACTCTACAAAGCAAACGTCCTGAAAGGAAAGAGTCAAACTTACGGCTTGACGCCCGCCCGAATCTGCAGCTCCCGAAACTCCTCCCGCTCCCGTTCCTCCCGCACCTGCTTCTGCAGCTCCGCCATCTTTGTCTCCTCCTCCTTGTGCTTCTGCTCCGCCTTCCATACCCGCTCCTGGTTGCGGAAGGTCGCCGGATGCCATCCCTTCTTGTTCAGAAATTTCATCCCCATGGTTGCAAGTTGTCAGTCGCACTGGCCTGTCGGCCAAAGACGATGTTCTTAGTCGGAAGAATCTCACCAAACCCTTCTACTGCACGACTTGATTAACTTCCAATCTGCAGAAATTAGCCCTAAGGGCACCCTTCGCTGTTCAACTTCAAGTTCAAGTTCTCTCAAAACTTTAAGTTTGCGCCCTTCTCTCCATTCTGAAACTCCGGACTCTTTTCTTCACTTGTGGAGCTGGCAAGCTGCATTTCCAAAGGGTATATGACACCTATTCTCAAGCAAGTCTACTCCGACAATACAGTACCGGTATATGGTTGGTCAGAAGCAGCTTTGAAGTTTGGACTCTCCGAGTACCAGTAACCAGACCCCTCTTTTCGAGACATTCTCTAGTTTGCAATATATTACCAGTGGCTAAGCTCATATAAGGCGGCAAAAACTGGCGGCCAGCTCTACTCTAGGCAGCCCGGCCAGCTGCAACACATCAAAGCAGGAAGGACCTCGAGAGCTGTGCATGGCACCAAGCAAGCTTCCAAAAGCTAGAGAAGTACCTTAAATTGACAAAATGGAGCAAGAGTAGGGATGAAAGATTGCCATTTGGCATACGTCCTCTAAGAGTATCAATGTTCATGCAACGAAGGGGGACCATCCTGCGGAAAGGCATGTTCGCATCGCCCTTTTGCATCAAGGTTCAGAGGGCTTCCATTGGTAGGGTACCTTCAAAGGCTTGGTCTACTTGCTTCTATGTCCGCCCATGAATCAGTAAATCCAATCAAGCTCTGCTTATGTAGTCATATGATGGTTGCATCAGCACAATTGCATTGCTGTGGAATCGGATGATGCTGGCATTGCAGGCTAGTAGCAGACATTCGTTCAAACGTTTGGCAGAGTGCCCTTGATTGCAGCTGGTTATACCTTAATATGTACTTAAGGCAAGAAGGAAAGCTTATAGCAAGAAGAGAAGCTTATGCAAGAATGAAGGCTTATGTCAGTGTTCTTTGCTAGAACTCGGGCCATGTGGAGTGGTGGTTGTATTGAAAGTGACACAACAGGGAGTCTGATTATCGAAAGGCTCTGTTTCCTGCTGAGAAGTCTGTCAATTGTCTGCTATTACGAGGGAACAGAAAATGTCAGCGTTTATGCAATAATCAGAAACTTGTGGAGAGGGATTAGAGGCGGACAAAATGCTTTACAATTCGGAATCATGATTGTTCTAAAAAAACGTCTATGCATTGCGTGCATACAGCATCTTCAGCTGAGTTTCTTTTTCTGCACTTCTTTGCACATCAAGCAGCTGAACTGACGCTCAATTGTGCATGCTTGATTGCAGGTGAATTGGCCTGTCCTGGAAGTCCTCATTTGCTACATCAGGCCAAGTAGCCTTGTAAGAAGCTCCTCCCCATGGCACTTTCTCAGAAGCTTGTCCAGCATTACATATCCTCTCTAAAGCCCTATGGACTCAACCACCGAGTCAGCGCCCTCTCCGCCCTCTGTCTGCTACTTAGAGACAGCCAGCCCCTTTCCCGCTTCCAGCATTCTGCACCCACTCAGGCAGACCCTGACAGCTTCCAAAAGCCAGCCCTCGAGCAGACTCCCCCAGGAGAACGTCTAGAGGTCACTCAGTCCTGGACGGCAGAGCACAGGACGGTCGATGGATCCCTGCACAAGTTTGCCACAGTCATCATTGAACAGGGGCATCTGCCAGGGGCAGCCGCTCTGGCTTGGCACCATGCCCGTAAGCTATTGCTGGGGGTCCCAAACGTGGGGGTCGCCTATGTGTCCAAGCCGACGGGGGCCGCGTGGGGGGCTGTTGCTGAGCTGGCGAATCGGATGGGAGGGGCGAATCCTGGAGGCAACTCTGAACAGACAGGGGGAAAGCCCAGTCCTCATGAAGCAGTCGGTGTGAAGTCCACAGAATTTGGTGGGGCTTTGACTGGCGCAATAAGACGCGATGGTGGGGTGGGAGGAGGGCGACGAGATGAGGGGAAGGTGTTGAGAAGTGGGGAAGTGCTCAGGGCAGATAGAAGACGAAGCGGGGGGCCCATTCTGTTTGATGACAAGACATGGCAGTGGCATGTGAGGGCGGGGTCGGAGAGGAAAGGGTTTGGGCGAGCGGAACGGAGCCAGAAAGCTGTGATCTACCATGCGACTGAGTATCCGCGGGGTGGGGTGCGTAGCAGAAGCAGCAACTCTGTGTTGCACGCAGAAGGGAGGGGGGGGGGAAAGAGCGGCGAGGAGGCGACAGGTGGCGTCCTCCCGTTGGTCGGTTGCACTGCTAGCAGCTGGGCTTACGACGGCGACGACGATGGTCGAGGAGGGGGGGCAGGGCAGAAGAAAGCTGAAACGACAAGCGGGGAGAATAAGACGGCGGCTACTTTTGGAGGGATGGCCAGCGCCCCCCAGAGCTACATTGAGCTGCCGTCGCTGGTCCCGGGGGTAGTTTCCAGAGGCAAACCAGGGGGGGGACCGTGGATGCGGCTGATTTACCCCCGGGAGCAACAGGACGTCGTGTTCGACCACTGGGATAAGATTGGGTTCGAGTCGGCGATCAGTCACACTGAGGCGGAGGAAGACTCGGAGGGGCCTGATGTCAGAGTCCAGATCTCCATAGCAGAACATGGGGATGGGGAGGATTCTTGTGTGGGCATGGGCGACGACGAGAGCTCGTTCGACGACTACTACGAAGACGAGAGCTCTGGAAATGAGTTCGGCCAGTCCGAGCGAGACGTCGACGAGCTAGCGGACGCAATGCACGTGCGGGCGCAAATGTGGCAGTTTGACTCCGATTCCAGTGACGATGAATCGGATCAGAGCGGATCGGAAAGCGGAGAAGAAGAGAGGGTGGGCTATGAGGAAGGGGAGTACCCTACGCTGAAGCTGCCGCTGCCAGCGTATGAGGACGGCCACGGGTTCAAAGGGATCATGGACGGGAAGACGGTGCTGCTGGAGAAGGGGCTCGCGGAGGGCGTTGCGTACAAACTGCAGTTCTTTGAAGTTCTGCAAAACTTCCTGGTAAGTTTCATTTTTGTGAAACATCACTGAAGATTTGGAAGGATTGTGCTTTGCCCGTGTTCTTTCGTTCGTTCACTGTCAATTCACCGATCGCTAATCGGCAGTGTCACCGGTTCAATCTTCGTCCCTTCTTCCTCAAGTGGTTCGTTGTATACTTACTTCGACGAGCCTTTTCAAATTTTTCTCTTCAACCAATTCCAGTGTTGTCAAACGTAGGTTGTCGAGTAGAGTCGACAGGTCGCAGCCTTTCAAAGGTGGAATCGGCAGCCATTCCCCGATCGTCGAAGTCAAATTGGAAGCCGGAGGATAAAGGAAGAAACGAGCTTCGCAATCACGCTCGTCGGAAAGTCGACTATATCCGCAAACTGTACAGTCCAATTGCTAAGTTTCTTTGGTTACGTTTTGAGCGAACTTGAGGGTTCTTTGTTACATCCCTTCTGTCCTGAGATTTGCAAATCGTGCATGGTGGATGCATGAAGTGGTGGAAGCCACATGATCCGAAACATTGGGTTCCCCAATCTCAATCTGAAGGTTCATTCAGGGGTTTTGGGTCCCAACAAGAAGGCTTCTCTTTCATCCAGGCATGGCGATATTGTCCAGTCTTGCTGAAGCGGACGCAATCCTGCGTGTTGCGTGTTGACTCCTTTTGACCTCGGAGTTGATTTCATTTACCTGAACGTAAAAGATGGTGGTTGAATTGCGACGCTTGAAGTGAGGGTTGCAAGCAACGCGCCTGATTGAACTTTTCTCTTCCAGGCGTGGCGGCAGAAGTCGGATCCTGCCTCGATCGACCACTTTGCGGACGAGTGGCAGTGCCTGATCGACCATCTGCAAACCGAAGTCCAGGAACTGCACAGCCTGCAGATGGAAGCGTGCGAGAACCGGGACACCGGTGAGCATAAAGTTTCCCCTTTACTTTGGTGCCTTGTACTTGTGGGCGGTATTGATTGTTGCAACAATCGAAACTGCACAGCTTGCACACGGATGAGTGCGAGAACGGGACACCGGTGAGCATAAAGTTTTCCGTTTGCTTTGGTGTCTTGGACTCTTGAGCGGTATTCATTTTTGCAAAAATTGAAGACTGCGCAGCCTGGAATGGAAGCAAGCAAGAAATAGGACACCAGTGAGTATGCGAAGGTTGGTGCGATAGCGGTTTCGGGCGGTTTGGTTCCTTCTGGTCTTTCGAAACTCAGGGGCTGCTTGGGTAATTGAAGGTGTGGAAAAGCGGGTGCCCTTGCGGCTCGTCTTGTTTTGTTGTGCCTTTACCATCCTGTTTGACGCTTTCAATTCTCAAAGGTCGGAAGTTTCTCTCGGAAAGGAGAATTCCCGATCGACAATAAGCTACGTCTGGTGGGATCGTGCGACATGCTTGGTTGCAGACATCTCGCTGTGTGTCCGAAAACCATCCAGTCCGCTAAGAGTTGCGTCACTCGTCTGCTCTGTGCCGTTTCCTTGCAATGTGACAAGAAAGCTGTCAAAATAGTCATCGAACCTGCAAGTTTAAAGCTGCGCTGACTGCTCTCACTGGCAAGATGTTGATCGACTGAGTCTGAAGGTCTTTCTTTCTTTCGTCTAACGCTGTCTTCCTGGGGCATACTGCCGCTAAACGAGTCTTTCACAAAAGGGCGCTGGGCTGGGGTTACTGTCCTGCCAGAAACACTGCATTTCCCAAGTTCCTTGATATCAGAATCTGAACCGCAGTATAAGAGCCCAAGTCGCCCTTTCTCTTTCTGCAGCCGAACGCCGCGTCTTCTTCCGCTTCGCCTACACCGACCCGGAAGGGATCCCCTCCGACGGCATCTTTTTCCTCACCGACGAGCTGCTCCCGCCCGACACCGACTATGACGTCAGCGACACGCCCCGGGTGATCCCCCTGGACCCGGGTGACACTCTGATACGCCACGTGCTCGAGTCTTTCAGGCCCGATGGCGATTTTCCCGAGGCAAACCACCTAGCGCCGGGTTACCGGTTCATCAAGCGGCCAACAATGGAAGGGAAGTCTAGAAGTTCCGGCGCAGGAGAGAGCGCGGGGGCTGGGCCGGGGGAAGCTGTAGACGACCCGCCGTTCCGGTTGACGTTCGTGGCAGGGGCCATGCCTGGAGTGAAGGTGGAGGCGTTTCACAGCACGCGAGCGGCGCTGCCGAACCTGGAGAACCTGGAGCAGATGCTGCTGAGGAGCCAGCCGCACTTTCTGCTTTTCGGGCAACCGGGTGAGACCTCTTTGAAATTTATCTGTTTGAGATTTACGAACTTGGAATTTGGGACTTGGTGCCTGGATTCAAGCTTCTTTTCACCATCTTTCCTGCTTTCCGGTGCTGTACTTTTGAGTAGGCCTTGTATGCCCACGGAATGTTGCGATTATCTGTTTTTAGAAAATACCCCCTGGGTACACTGTGCTCCCCATTTTCCCGCTTGTGAGTGGCTGTCCTAGGAAAGATCTTGTCTACGTAGGGGAGTCTCTCACCTGCAAAGCTGCATGTGCGAGTACAAGCAGCCAATACCTGCTCATATCTGGGACTTTGGCAATGTGCACGTCAAGTGGAGTAGGTTTTGAGCATCCGCTCAATGTGCTCTGTAGAAGCAGTGCGAGTCGCAACTGAACAGCGCCGAATTGCTTCATGAATGAATTACTGTTTGGAAGTCAGGCTGTCATATCGTTGACAAGAGGTTCAGGAGGACAAGCTCTTGTGCCATTTGTGAATGTATGAAGGCGGAGATGGCTAGCTACCGGGTTGCTGAGGGCTGCCACCTGGCAGTGACGAGCGATGCATGTTTGGGACTGGAATATCCCAGAAGAATCTCTGAAAGCGACGCTTCGTGCAGCCCAGATAAGTTGACAAAGGATCGCAAAAGCCTTGTGCCAAAGACTTACATGCTGCTCAGCCTGGCCTCCGACAGGGAGTGGATCCTCTGTTTCTTCGTTTGCGTCCATCTGACGAAAGCTTGTTGTTACGCAGTGTTCCGTGAGCCGGTCTTAGCGGGTACTTGTGCGACTTAGGTCCGGTTTCTTTCTGCTTGATTTCGAAAATGACGCAAACGTTCGCTTGATTTCGGGTCTGTTTGGGATGGATTACCTGCTTGGCTATGCGGCCATGATTTGCGTTCGTAGCTGGGGCACCTTTGAAGCCTCATCGTCTTCTTTGACTCCTGCACTATGAGCCCGTCAAGAAATGTAGTTTTTTCCGACATGACTTAGAACCGGCCTTTATTTGACCAGGTTGCTGATGTCATTGGTCTCTTGGAACTTCGATCCTTTCGTTTAGCGTGGTCTGTGATTTCGGGGTTGGATCTTCGCACCAAGTATCTGTAGGACATTCTTTAAGTCCCACACAATTTGCCATATGGCAACCATGTCTGAGGTTTTTTTCCAGTCCATTGTTTCTTCGATCCGAGACTGCTTGCGTACAGCAATGACACACAAACAAAATTGGGGCCATTTCAAGAGGCGCCGCAGTCTTGGACTTTTTGTGGACGCTGTGATCAACGTTTGCCCTTGAGATGTCGTCATTGAGAAGCCACGTTGAACTTGAAGAATGACTGCGGCTTCGGAACTTTGGCTCGCGACTCATTGTGTAGTGCTCCGGAGTCTCGGTCTTCGAGAGTGTGGATGCTACACGGGACTGCCTGCCTCTGGGTTGGTTTGAGCACCGTTGTCAAAACGGCCGCGGAGTAATTAATACCCCCGTCGCTTTCCATCTACCAAGTTATTACCTTCGGCAATCCTCGAGTTGGATTCTTTCATTATTTCCGCCCCGTGCTTCTGTGTGCCGTTGAGGCTTTTATTGTCAACCAGATTGCTTACTCGTCTTTGCGCTTCCTTAGACTGGCCGTGATGCCCTCAAGAGTTTGAGTCCTCGAAAGGGCGTCTCACTCGAGACGGTGCGCTGACGCCCGCAGGCATCTCTATGCCGTTGAAAGCACAGTTTGGCAGACTCCTTCCAACGGTTCCCATGTTTCCCAAGCCCCTTGGACTCCGTTGCGCATTTGTTTGTCTGTCAGACTAGAAGAGAAGCTAAGAGGGCTTAAGTGCATGGAGACGCTGATGTGGTTGACCACCGGCTTGTCTGCTTTTGTGTGTCCGCATAATTCTCGCATTGTGCAGATTGGTGGGTAGGGGTTTTAAGAGCGTCGTCTAAATCTGCTTGGCGCGCTTGTAGGCTTCGCATTATGGTGCTTTCAACGTGAAACTCAGATACTGAAGGCTCGTCCATTCTGGAGGCACTTTCCATTTTGCGTCTTAAAGCTCACTCGTGTGATTGCGTTTCAACTCTCTGTGTCTCGAATCGAAGGAGAACGAGGTCAGCATAGGGTCGCTCGAGTGGGTGTCTTCTTGCGCAGTTTTCGAAGAGCGATGACGAGTGTCAAAGGCTTGGAGGGCCACCGTATGGCCTGCCAACCGGGTTCTCTCCTACACCGACGCTGAAAGACGTCACGCTTTGAGTCTAACACTTGCTTTGCGTTTTGGAGCTGTTCATGGTCGAGTTTTCTTGGTTCTCGTCGAATTGGCCAGCATAGGACCACCAGACACCCTGTCCTGTTCTTACTAACTGTGTATCTTGGAATGATTGACATTGGCGATATCTCAGACCTGAGAAAGAGCATCAGGAAAAACTCGAGCGCCATGTCATACTTGGCACTCTCGGCAACGTTTTAGGCCGATAGTATTGCTTGGCTTGCTTTGTTGGCATACTTGTCTCTGCCCCGTGCAAAGAGTTTCGATCATATTTTAAAGCGGAATTCTCAGCATACTCGGAAGTGCTGAACGGCTGTGATGTGCTAAGCAGGATCGGGGCCTTGAGTTCCCAGTTCTGGGTAGCTCTTCAAAGGATGCCCACAGTCATACTGTCTAGAGTCGATGTTTGGGACATATTCTCCCGTTTGCAGTATTGATCGACTAGATCACCTCGAAGTGTCTAGTTGCAAAGGTGCACTTGCGCTACCAGATAATGGGTTCATCTAACGCCCACACTTTGTCCATGGAGAAACCGAAATGTTGCTGTTTCTTCAGCGATGACGTCACTTCTATGGGCCCGCCACAAAATACGAGCTCAGCCTGTGTCTTGAACCTGACGCTGCACTCTTGAGCGGAAGCTTGAACCTCGCGGCATCGGCTAGATTCCTACTCCACAATGACCTGCACGTCGATGGCTATGCTTGCTTTCAATGGGTGGCGGACCCTTGCTTGCTTCCGCTCCTTACTGAGTTCTTGGTTTGTACGTGGTAATCAACTAGACTACCTCGAAGTGTTTGGTAGCAGAGGTGCACTTGCGTTGTCAGATAAAAGGGTTCATCTGACACTCCACGCTGTGTTCAACCATAAAACGCAAAGTTGCCGTCCTTCAGCGATGACATATGGCACATCTGTGGGCCCGCCATAAGGTGCGGGCCCAATGGATATGGTGGAAGTGAACGCTGCAACTCAGAATGTGCGCAACTTGAACTTTGCGGCTGTGCCTAGATGTCGCTTCATGATAGAGTGTCAAACCGACCGCAACGCTTGTCCCGGACATTGGGGGGGGACCGTCGTCGCCTTCCGCTTCTCCGTGATCGTTTTCTTTGTCCTTAGCGTCAGTCAGAAATTCCCTCGGTGTCGGGGTGCAAAGTGGTTTGCGCCAGAAATAGCCGTTTGATGCTTGCGGCATGCCCTTGTCACAGCTTCTTTTCCACCTATGCTGAAAGGCACACCTCTAAGTTGCAAGGAGATGCGGGCCCACCTTTTGATTTTGCTTGACTAGACGCTGCAAGTCTCAAACTGTGCGCAGCTAGGAGATCACGGCCTTGGCTGGTTACTCACTCCAGAATAAGTTGGCTTTTCGACGGCTATGCGCATGCTTGACTTCTGAGGGATCGTCGTTGCTTGGTTTGAACGAAATAGCCCTGTCTGGTTTCGAAGTGTGCTTGTCCCAGATGAAGCGCATGATCTGATGCTACTTTTTGCCTTGAAACAGTTCTCAGAGCTGCTTTTCTTCCAGCGACGACAAAAGGCACATCTCTGGGTCCGCAACAAGTTGCGTGCCCAGAATGTGGCTCTGTTGCGGACGCTGCAATTGCTGGCATCTGCTCGCCAGGAGTTTGCGGCCTCGGCTAGGATCCTTCTCCAGAGTAGAATGCTACATCTTAACGCGGCTTTAGTCGCCTGGCAAAAATTGAGGATTCTGGCGTCCGTGTGTAGGAATCGGAAAGTCCACTTTGAAACGTCCGGTAGCAATCGCCCCTGCGGTTGAAGAAAAGGTTAACTCTTCGTTTTTGGACATAGAGAACTTTGTTGTCTGCTGCTTTTCCAGCGATGACGAGCGGCAGATATCTGTGCCCTCGGTAAGATGTGGGCCCACCTAGTGACTGCTGGACCTCTCTCAAAGTGCACAGCTAAGATCTTATGATCTTGGTTCTCCATCCGCGACCAGTTTCTCACACTGGTGGGAGCGACGTCGCTTTCCGTTTCCCCGTATCTTCGTCTGAGCGTAATGATCATAGATTTTTGATCCTGCCCTGAAGTGTCAGGTTGCAAAGTGCGCGTGCACAAAACTAGAAGGCTTCGTCTAGCACTTTTGCTTTTGCCATGGAGAGATTGTAGCAGATGCAGCCGTTTAAACTTTCAGCAAGGACAGATAACATATCTCTGGGCCTGCCACAGTTGCGGGCCCAATGGCAGATTTGGGCAGTGGACGCTGCAAGTTCAGAGCTCGGAGTTTACAGCCCAAAATGGAATTGAAACGATAGGGGTCACGTAAGCGGCTATGCTTGCACTTGACTTTTGGCCGCACCGTCCGTGCCTGCCACTTCTTGTTGATGTCTTTGTCTGTAAGGAGGAACCAATCACATCATCCTGAAGTGTCCGGTTGCCAAGTACTCGTGCTCCAGAGAAAGGCTGTGAATTGACAGTGACCCTTTGATTACAGAGAAGCCGTTAAGGCTGCTTCTCCTTCAGCAATGGTGGATGGTAACATCCCCGGGTTCGCGGAACCATACGGGCCCAGTGTTTCTTGTGGTGGACGCTGCAGCTTCTAGAAAGTGCGCAGCTAGGAGTTTATGGCCTCGGCTACTGGATCGCTCCACAACAAGTTGTCGTGTCAACGGCTATGCTGCCGCTGACTCGTCTCCGACTTCGTCCATCTTGATGAATGGTGTTTTCTTCGTTTGTCCGTAGCAATAGTTATATCACCCAGAAATATCCGTTCGCCAAGTGCGTCGGTTGTAAAGATCGCATGCAAAATCAAAGCGCTTCGTCTGATGCTCAAGCTTTGGTAGGGAGGGGTTGTATTAATTGCTTCGCAGTGGGCGATGATCAGTGCCAAGTCGCCAGGCCCACAACAAGTTGCGGTTCAATGAAGCCGTGGTCCCGACGCCGCAAATATACACTTTGCGCACCCAGGACTTTTTGGCCTCGACTGAGCAGTCACGCCACAGGAAGTAGGTCTATCGACGGTCGTTGCTCTTAACTTCTGGCGGGACAGACGTTACTTCCCCCTCGGTGATCTCTTCAAGTATACATGCCCATTTTTGAATGCACCTTGAAGTGTCCGCTTGCAAAGTGCATGTCCGTTGAATAAAGGGCTTCATCTGACAATCCTTGTTGCACACGAAGAAGCGGTAACGGCTTCTGCGATGAAAGATGCTACGACATGGGGCCCGCAATAAGTGCGGGCCCACTGTAGTCCCTTTCTTGAATCCTGCAGGTGTCGAATTGTGCGCGTTTGTGACTTCACGTTCCGCCTAGGTGTTGAATCGACGATAATACATCCCGTCGAAGACTAAGCGTGCTCTTCTTTCTGGTTATTCCGTTGTTGCCCTCGGTGGCCTCATTTATCTACCGGAAGCAATTGTTGCAAAGTGTGCGTGCCCGAAACAGAGGGCTGCATCTGACGCTTAAGCTTGAGCAAGGAGACGTTCTAACAGTTGCATTCCTTTCAGCAATGACAAGAAGCATGATTCTGGGGCCGCCGGGTGACGTGGGCCGAGAAACCTTCTTGATCTTTGGAAGCTGTTCTCAGAAATGTTCGAGCTCGCACTTTGCGGCCTCACGTTGTCTTGACTACAGAAATCTCTGTAACGACAAGTAAAGCGCTTCGTTCGACATCCCTCTCTTGACATGCAGTCGTTCGATTCGCGACGGCTCTTTCTTCTCTGGCAATGAAAAAGGCCATGTCGCTGGGCCCCTGACAAGAGGATGGGGCCCATTGGTCATTGGATCTGGACGCTGGAAGGTTCCGGATGAACGCAGCTTGAAAGAGTAGGGCTAGGTACTGATTTTTGCCATTGGTTGTCAAGTCAACGGTTATGCTTTCGTTTTACTCTTAAGAAAGCCTTGGAGCGCTTTCAAACAATCGTCGTGATTGTTTTCTGCTTACGTGGCAAGTATTCTGTCACCTCGGTGGTCCCTGCTTAGCATTGATGCATGCACCTTCCTGGGGCGATTCTTAGAGTGCTTGCCCAAATTATAACCGCAGGTTCTGAAGCTGCAGCTTTTTTCGATAAACGTCTGGACTGTTCTTTTGGGAAGGAGTTTCATATACAATTTTGAGCCCCTCAGGTATGCTTTGGAGTTTTGTTAGTGTCGGTTGGCGCTTGAATCTCCCGTCTCGCGGCTAGTACACGGGATGATCGGCGTAAGCGTTTCACGCTCTCAACTCCTGAAATAACTTCTGGTATGAAATGCTTCTTGCACCAGCTCGTGTTCCCTGCTTGTGACGAGGACAGGTTTTGAAGCGGGCAAACACTAAGACGTCGCCCTAGTCCGATCCTGAATTTCTCGATGCCCGGCTTTGGGCCTGGACTGTATCGTTGCTTTGAAAGAACTCATTGTAAGAAACCCGGAAACCAATGAAGACCCTGACTGAAAGTATCCTAAACTCCGGGTCATCGAGTACAAGAGGCTTTCCTAGGCTCTAAGACAATCTTGCTCCCGGATCTTTGACTGGGTTGCTTTGTCGACGTCTCAAAAGTTCTTTTGCTCTCTGCAAGCGCACAAATGCTTAAAAGGCGAGTGAGGCCACTCGGGCACTCAGCCCCGCCTTCAACCTGTTTTTGAGGCCTAACGCTTTTCTAACATCAGTCATCGCCGCTTATGTACACTCGGTTGTCACAGAGTACCGTGACTTTGTCACTACATGTATGCATCTCTTGGGCCGTTTTCGTGCAAACCCGCAGACTGGACGCCGACTTTTGCCGCCAACTTCGCTTATCTGATTGGATGAAGGGGCAGTGAGAATTGGTGCATGCATTGACAATCTTGTCAAGAACGCCACATTGTCAAATATGAGCCTTGTGCAGCAAAGATGTGCCCGAGCAGATAGGGACACGTGGGCGTTCCACGCTTCTGTCCACAGTGTACTGATGCTCGACATCGCGTCAGGACAAGTGTCATCTTGTCGTCAGCAAGGTCCTTGGTTGGTTGGTCTGGAATAGCTTCCCGCTTGGCACTTGTGACCGTTTTGTAAAGGGGTGAGAGCCGTTCTAAGGCCTGACAATAATCCTTGGTTGCTTTCTGAGCAAGCGCACGTGCAGTCTTCGCCGTCCTTCTCCAAGGCTTGAACGTACAACTATTTCAAGCACATTGTTCCCGTTTGACAAATTTGACAAGAGATTTGCGAGCTTCGTGCTCGCAACGTGCGAAGCAGCTTTTGCGAGGCTTGTGGCCGGATTGACCGGTGCGAGGGGCATAGTCGTTTTCACAGAGATGTGAAATGCCATGCAATCTCAGAAGCTTGTCAGCTCTTCTGGCGGTTCACAATTGGATGCTTTTCGCCAACGAAAACGTTTCTTTCGCTGCTCGTCCGTTGAATCCATTGTGCTGGCGACTGCGAGCAGCCAACATGAACCCGACTGATCGTGATCGGATCTGAGTCCGGCCTTCCTATCTTATGGGCCAAAGCGGACCTTCGTGAGTTAGGCACCTGTGTCGCTTCTTTGACACGTCATTGGCTGCGGTGCATCCATCGTTTCAATCAGTTTTTCCATGACTTCATTGGATTGTTTTTCTTTGCAGCTAAGGCCGTGATGCGTCAATAATGGGGACAGATTCCAGATCCCTCCCACATCTTTTTGTACCTCGAGTCGCACGCTGATGCTGCTTCGCATTTGGGGGTCTTGTATGTCATTAGCCATCACCGAATGTGGTTTTACATCAATAGTCCTCAAGTGCACTCAGTAACTTCCTTCCACTTTGAAACAGCGTTTGTGTTCAGCCTTGCAGACAGCGTGCGTACCCTTGGACAACGCTTTTCTTACCCACTTAAGCATTCCAGACGTTCTCGTTGCTTTTGCCCTAAACACTAGCAAACTCCCTTTTCAGAAGGTCCGTTTGTGATCGCCCAACGGGTGTGAATGATCCTCACGCCTCGGACGTGCCTCCGATCGATTCAACGTCATTGGAACTTACCAGGGAATCAGACAGTGACGCATCTACTGTTTTGCCTACTCTGGCTAACACTTTGTCACGAGCGAAAGTGACCGACAAGCAGCAGTGATGCAAATTCCAGGATGAGGCCGTTTCCCAAACGTCTCATGAGCGCTCTGGACAGTTATTCTTCGTCTGATGCTAGCGTTTTGAACCAAATCACCCCCTTTTTCATGGGACGCTCTTCGCGATTCGTCTGTCGCTGATTTCTGAGGTTACTGGACCTCTGGCTGCACAAGATTGACGAGAGGTGTTGCTTGTGGCTCGGACTGGTCTTGAATTCTCCGCACAGCTCAACATGGCGTCTTTGATGTCATTAGTCGCGTCATGTTTGCCTTTGTTACTGTTTTGTGGGTGCGCTGAGGATACGTGTAAGACTGCACTGGGCGAGAGGACCGAGCCTTTGACCACAATCTAATGCAGCGTAGCAGGAGTTTCATTCCTTCATCGATAGGAAAATGAATCAGCCTTGAGCATAATCTTTGAGTTGATATGAATTGGCTACTGACTATCATCACATCGCTCATCACAAGCTCTATCGAAGCACAGCTGCCCGCAAGCTATGCGACTCTTGGCATGTTCCGGTCGTTCCTTACTTCATCGACCAAGTCCTTTAATGTCCTCTGGCTATAACGTGCTCAAGGCCTTATTTTCAAAAAATCCGCATTTTTCCACAGTTGCGACGTGGACTTGGCTCGTTACAGTCATCTCAACCTCTGTTCGGCCTCCGCAGGATTTGACCACAGCGCCTTCCGCGAGCGGCTGACAAGTCTCTTTCCTGAGGGGGCCAAAGCGGGCGTGTTTTCTACCCCCACCTCCGTGCTGTCCGCTGCAGGGGGATCCGTCATGAACGACGGCCCATTGCAATCGCAGCTCTACTACGGCGACCAAAGAGCTTCGAAAGGAGTCTGCGGTCTTGCGCTCTACTCAGAAGGTAAGCCGTGTGCCTTTTTGGAAAGAAAGCAGAGGGTACCGTCAAGTCGAATCTTCTTATGGTGAGCAGTACGAAAGCATGCTGCTTTCTATTGACAGGAACGGGAATAGAAGTCGCGGAGTTACGAGCTGCCGATTTGGGGCCCCGTGTGACGTCTGCGGTGCACTTCTCGATCCAAAGCCCAGTGCTGAAAATTTTGCAGCGTAGGCGCGGTTTCTGACCAGAGGGAAAGCTGGCTTGTGTACGTGCTGAGTCCCACTTTTAGAGGCACGTTCTCCACGGTACTTATCGGCAATATCGTCCAAGCTAGGAACTCGTCGGACAACTTTGCTCAGTAGTGAAGGCGAAATCCAACATTGGAGAGCGAGCAAGAACAAGAGAGACCAATGAGGAGAGCACGAATGCGCAGACGATTTCGTGTTTTTTGTTTACAGGAGACGGTGTGATCCCTGTTGACGCCTTTGCCGCATTCCTCAAGGATGCAATCGGCGCACCCCGCTTCGCCGGCACCTGTGTCTTTGAGTAAGTCGACAGAGGACGCGGATTTTGGACATTAGTTCATGCGACCTTTGGTGTGGCTTAGAGGCACGACTGCTTGGTTAACGCCCCGTTCTTCCTTTGCTTTTCGGTGTCGAATGTTTGGCTGGGAATTCGGGCGTTCCGGGCGAGGGTGTGGTGCAACTTGCCTCGTACTGTTCGCTACTTGACAAAAGGTGAAAACGCTATCACCGCCTAGACCCCGGCTGTACAGACAAATGCGACTCAAGTATTGCATACCTATCGGCCGAGTCCTCGCCAACTTTCAGAGTAGAAGCGCTTCGACCTCTGTTAAAACGCACGGACTACAACCCAAACTGCCTGAAACTGTTGGCTTGCCTGCTCCGACTTTAGCAGGTGACGTCACCACCTTCTGCCAAGAAAGAAGCTGACCTTTGTCCTCATTATGCATATCATCCAGGACACTTTTCTTGGTGCTTTTACGAAGTCCGTTGTCCACTGCTTTACAAATCGTTGCAGCATTTATTTTCTTTTACGCTCATGCCATCTCTTCCTGATGCAGTGACGTCATCAGCCGCGAGCTCTTTCGTCCGGCCAAGCCGGACGCGTCGCGCGCCGAGCGCCGGCGCACCCTCCACCGCTCCGACGAAAAGCTGGAGTCGCTCGAATCCCTCTTCCGCTGGTGGCGCTCGAAACTCAAGGGCCCCATAAACGCCCGCGCCGCGCCAAACAGCACCCGCAGAGCGAGCACCAGCGCGCCCAACAGGGCCTCGGAGGAGAAAACGCTCTGGAGAAGCCCGGAAAACCCGGAAGAGATCCTGGACGCACTCCAGGTCACGAACAAGTACATCGAGCTGCGGAAGGCGTCGCTAGAGCGGCGGTTCGGGCGGCTGGTTTCGGAAAGGGGGGGTATGGAGGGCCGGGAGGGGACCCCCTGGAAACGGGACCCGCGGTTGGCGCCTGGAATGGTGGCGAAGCTGCCGCTGTTTCTGGTGTACCCGCCACCGTGCCCTGGGGAGACGATTGAACGGTTCATATTCGAGCCGCGGTACCGATTGCTGGTGAGCATTCCGCGCCTCTTCTTTCTATCTAATTGAATATGTTCGCGTCTGGAGATCCGGATTAGAAGAAGCACTGTAGTCTGAGGCTGCCAAAGTCTCGCTAGACAAGGGAGGGAGTGAGAGGACCTTCAAAGCAATTTCGCGACCAAAAACCCTGTGAAGGAGAGGAGACCAATTGTACGCGCTTATCAGCAGCTTCTGCAGTTCTTGGGAAGAGCTAACTCCATCTGCAAGCTAAGCTTTGATAAGGGTTGTTCCGCCCGGCACGGCTCGCTGATGTTGATCCGACCACGGACGTTAAAGTCAGGAAATTTCCGCTATCGATTTTCAGTCACACAGCAACGAGATTCAAGAGGCTTCCGGCAGAACCTGAAAGGATTGAGATCGCTTACTTCAACTCCAGGCAAAATATTGCTCTTGGCAGCCCGCTCAACGTGTGCTCTCTACCCCTCGCCACGGGTTGAACCGTCGACACTTCTGCGTGCTTTGGATTCGTTTTCAGGCAAGAAGGATACGTCATTCTTTCGCCTGCCCATGAAAAGAAAGGAATGCTTGCTCCAACGTGCAGGCTAGACACTGTGTCGAGGAAGGCAGCCCGCTCGGCGTGTGCTCCCTAGACCCCGATCCCGCCACGGGCCAGATCGTCGGAACTGCCGCGTCCATTGACGTTATTGAGTACGACGAGGCCTTTCGGTCGAATGTAGAGTTGCACGGGCTGCAGCGGTTTCGCCTTAAAACGCCCAGGTGAGCAAGTGATGTGATCCTAGGAAGCGGCCGTAGTCTCAACTGAAGGTCGTACGGTGCACGGGCTTTTGGATTATGTCTGAGAGGTCTAGATGATCCGGCCAGCGGGTGCCACGTGTCGAAATGTAAGGTGCGAGTAAGTTACGAGGTTTTTCAAAACGACACCTGGTACTGGACCTCCAGGCCCGACCTAGGGTAAATAAGTTCGATCAAGACTGGTAAAATAAAATGTGACCAAACTCCGAGAATCTGCTTTTGCTGTACTCGTTTCTCGTTTTACTATGCTGAGGTCACGCAAAGGCCACTCAGATCAGAGCACGGGGATGTCTTATCAGTTTTTCTTTGGGAACCGGACTGTGAATGGCAAGCCTCAAGCCTTGAATTTCTACCTGAGAAAGGAATACTGTCTCTTCTGCTGTTTGTGTACACAGAAATTTGCGAGCTCCTTTCACATCGTCGAGTTGAAGCTCCTGTCGACAACCTGACTTCCCGAAGGGAGCCGCTTGAGAGCAGGAAACACCTTTCAATAGCTTTAACACGTCCATCTTGCGTCAAATCTTTCACAGGACAGATAAATTAGTAACATAGCACCACATTCACAGAGTCCAATGATACGAAAGCGCTCCTTAACTTTGGGCTTGCATGCCCGCTGCCGCTTATTTTCTTTCATGCAAGTTCCTGCTCGAGACCGTGTCCAAACAATTCCACCCCCTATACCGAAGGATGCACCCTCCGAACATACCGGTCGTTTTCTGTCACAGGATATCTCGAGCCCCCCGTCGAGCTTCGGCCATAATTGGCCTGAGATGGATCTTCTGTGGTTTTGATCGAAGATTTCACTGCACTCTTTGGAACCACGTCACAGCATACTCGGCCCCCAATTGCTCTTTGACACCCTGGCTTCACCGAGTGATCTTTTTCTGCCGCAGGATATGGGTGCCTCCGTCGAGTTTTGGCTTGTACGTTGCTGAGGTGGAGTTCTTTGACGACGAGCCATGCACCAGCGACCGGGAGCGGGAAGAGCTCATCGGGCTTGCGCGGCGGAGCATAGCGCTCTTTCGACGGAGCTACCCTAATGTAAGTGAAAAGATTAAGGCCGGTTGTTGCGGTCTTGAGGATTTTGCGTCGGGCGGCACTTTGGAACCCTGGGGAGTTTTAGTGTCTGCACTTCAGCTCTTTGAATCTTATTGTATCCCGCATGACCTCATTGGAGACAACAGGAAGGATCCGATTCGTGGAGCTATTAGACAAAAGGCTTGCGGATGTGAGGGCTTTCGAAGGCTTTATTGAAGGCTCTCCTGATTGAAGGGTGCGGAAGAGGGTGAGCCCGGCTGGCGCAGCTGTTGTTCAAGGAAGAGTTGCGGTGTATATAGCGTGACGGTCGGGTGGAGCTTTGGGTAACGTTGATGCTCTGCGGCTGTCTCTGTGGAAACGGAGAACGCATTACGTACTCCCCGTCTTTGCGCTGTGTTAAAAACTGTTCGGCTTGGATTCAAAAAATTCTCAAGAAGGGCGGCGCAGTATGGTCGTCCAGTGTGGCCTTGCAGATCTGCACTATGCCGTAAATCTTCCAAAAATGGTTTTTAGAATCGGATACTGACCCTCCGTCTGCTTACGTCACTTCCAGGAGTGGCGACGAGACAAGGTCCTCTCTGCAGACGTCACCGACCCGGTTGCCGTGTCGTTCGCTCTGGCGGAGGCTCTTCCAACGCGGGTGAGTGTGGACAGCGCACTCATATGCGTTTGCTGGCTGCGTTGGCATGATCTTTTCAGATTGTACTCAAAAGAAGCCACCTTGAAGTCTACAGTTTGATCAGACGGCAGGCCTTGCAGTATTTGTCTTCTCTATTCCTTCCTCTATTCGCTTCGTGAAATCCAGGACGGTAGATGCTCTTGACACTTAAGGTCGCAGCCGCTTGGCTGCCAGCTGTCATAGTATCTGCTGGCAATACTCTCACCAGTCAGCAGGTCGTCGTAAAGTTGTGACGGTGGAAAAGCTTCTTGACAGTGTCAAAAGCTGTAGTCTTTCAGGGTTGCTAAGTTTTCTAGTCTCCAGGGTTGCTAGGTTCTGCCAGCCCTGGAATCCAACCGGTACATGTTCTGCTTGTGATCTTCACATCCACTCCTCCCATGTCTGACGTCACTGCTGACGTGGCTCCTCGCAGAACTACACGAAGCAGCGGTGGCTAGCCGGCACGTGCACACGTCAGCGGTTGCAGGAGCAGATGCACAACATGAAGGAGCGGAGCACGCAGACGAGCAGCAGGGCGGAGTCGTATGACATGGACGGATGAGGCAAGCCTATAATAGGTGGTGGAACAAGTGTCGGTGTCAAAGATGAATTGACACCGAAACTTCATTAGGATCTCATAAAATGAAGGGATCGAACGGACTGATGGTCTGACCGTCTTCTGAATATTCCATTCCTGCCTCAACGCCTTTCCCGCAATGGTCATGTGTGAGAGTCTGATATGCGTTAGACGTCGTTGGTGGATGAGAATGAAGCAGATTAAGCTGATGGAGAAGGCGACGTCAAGGGCTAAAAAACATTGCGTCGGATTCGGCGCCACTTTTAAAGAACAGCTACCCCGATGGATGACGACTAAGCTTGGAAGGATGACCTTCCCTCCCAAACCGGAGACTGGGCCGCTTTTACATTCTTACTATCTTCGTATCGCAACATACCTACCTTCACAAACCTGTTTCATCGTAAACTGTCGGAGGGCATTCACAGCGTCTAACCCGTTTATCTGCATGTATCGTCGCCTTCAGCTTTACGCTGGTGCTCAAATTCCTTTTTGGTTGATGCACTTGACTACGCATACCGTTTGCATACTTTTTTGGAAGGGCGTAGCAATGATTCGTGCTGCCCGACTGACCTGTACTGGTCATCTCCGTCTTCGACCCTTCGAGCCGGCAATTCGATGATGCTGCAACTTCAAACTCTCAGCAGACACAATCATGCAAACCAGTCTGCAATCCCATTTCCATCGGTATTATGAAAACTCGCTTTTCTCTAGCACGTTGTACGATCCCTTTCGTGCCCCTGGCTTTCCCTCCTCACATGCTCGTCCACGTGCAATCACCTGTAAAACTCGGGTCTGAATGTTTGAACTAGAGCTTTTCCTTGCGCTTTGTGCTTGCATTGTTTTGTCAAAGGTCCGTTCTTTGGAGAACCAACAACGTGGGCACCTTGCACTGGTGTCCAAGCATTGCCGTCTAGCTTTATCCCTTGAATCTTGCATCCCGCCTGTAAACACATTGCTTGATTATTGGCAACCCCTTCCAGATCAAAGATCTGAACTACCTTTATTGGAAGCTTCAAAGTCGCGCCTTGAAAATACCCCTCTAGTAAATTAAAGCACCCAGTCTTTTGGGGTCCGGTTTCACTGTTCCTTGTGTTGCCGGCCCAGTTCAATTCAAGTACGTCGTTGAACGAGCCATATTTTGACGAGCGAAGTGCCGAATTGATCTGTGCACATCCCCGCAACACTCTTAACAGAGTCAGATCACGAGCCCCAACCTTCTAACGGCCAGTCTGAGCTGCGGGTATCGTACTGGCTTATGAGGGTTGAATGTGGCGTCCTCGTGGAGGCCATGCTTCATGTATTCTTTCTGCTGAGGCCAGTCACAGCTCTAGTTGTTCTCGTGCGTAGTCGTCTACGCCCCACTGGCTTGACAGTAATGATGCACGACCAGGACTGAAGCATTGCCAGCAAGGGCTTCAGTCTCTAACTTGGTGTTGCTGATGCTGTAATGGTTTGGCACGAGATATTGAGCATTAAGGATTGTCTCGTTGAAAGTAGACTGACAGATGTTGAATTCCAAGTGAGAGACTCAGCAGGCTCTCTCCTAGCCGCGTGCTGGAAGTTGCACCCTTTGTCCTTCACTGTGCTGTCAAACAAGCTGACGCTCAAAGCGCCCATTGTTTCTCACGGCCCGTTCCGGATGCAAATCCGATTCCGTGCTCTCGTCTCGATCTACCGCTATTGGGACGAGCCTCACTGCCCAGTCCACGTGCCGCATACACAAAACAGCGAATCGGCTGTGGGTTGTTGCTACCGTCGCGCGTCTGCCCGACTGTTTCTATGATGCTTAGGCAATCCTCTTGGAAACGTTGTCGGGTTTATGCCTCAAATGGAACAGGCCGCGCTTCAAACACCCTGTGGCAAACGATGACTAGTGCATGGGCAGCCACAATCTTATGCGAATGCGTTTAGCACCCACAACTCTACATCCGCACTATCTCAAACGTTGCGGTTCCACCTTTCGAAGTTTTAGCAAATCGCACCGTGTGAGGGACCGTCGAAAGGCCTCGTTTCTGATTCTGGCAGCCTCAATTGCTGTGTTTTTGGTTTATCTAGTATCTTCTCTCTGCCTGCATGTGGTAGCAATTCGTTGTCGTGATTCAATCTCTTTATATCCCAACCCTGAGTCACGGCATTTTTTCTCGTTTCTCTCACGCCCTTTCTCTGTTCGCACCCTTCACGTTCATCCAAGTTCAGGTTGCCGTCGGCTTGCCACCTAAGTTTTCCCTGGGACTCCTCGCTTCTGCTCTTTTTTGTGGCGTCCTTTTCTCGGCCATCACGCCAATTCGCCTTTTGTACAACCACTTTGACGCTGTGGTTAGGGTAAGACCCGCTGAAACCCTGGGGGTCATGTTTAACATGCCTCGCACGCCTTTCTCCGTTGAGTGTTAGCCCAGCCCGGCTTGAGCCTGGCGGGAGACGTCTCTGTGCGCCCTGATTCCCTATAGGGGACGCTACAGAGACCTCGAGGTTTATTGTGCTTTTGACTCTTCTCGAGTAGCACTGGCAATGAAAATGTTCGCAATACTGGGGCCATAAACGATGGTTGCCCCAGTTGATGGCGTCAGTTAGATGCCACGAGTACGTTTGATCGCACGATTCTTTCACTCAGATTCGTGCTCGCTCCTTTTAAGCGGCTCCCTATTCTTCTCGAACCCACGGACTTTCTGCTTAAGCAAAATGCGCGAGCCAGACGCTTAAGCAGAGTGAAGTTTCGGGTACGCTTGGGAAAAGCCGTTTTTTGCACTGTTCGTGGGGTCCAAATATTATCCGACTATAGACGGATGCCTCGTGCACGCTGCAAACTCTGGACTTTGAAGAATATGGGCCAAGGCTTGTCTTCCTCCCGTTCGCATCAAGACCCTCACACGGAGGTAATATGCGTGTTCCGGCCAGCTATGATGCGCACGCGAGATTGGGGCACCTGACAATCTGCGCCTCAAGGACGAGTTGCGTGCTGACGCTCAGGACCACCCTCGGAAAGTATACTCGAATGCATGCAAATCACGCAATGCACACCCAGGGTGGATACATCTTTCGCCACACAATGTGCAGTTAGCTGGTTGTGCTGTGCACCTGGCAACAAGAAGAGCCTGGCTATGATGGCGCCCGGCCGCAACCTTCAAGCGAAGTCAGCTCGCAAAGTAACGAGCCTTTGATCGTGGCCTTGAAGCTTGTTGCAAGCTCGTTTGGGGCACACGCTTCACGAAAAGATTTTGTTCTGCATTTCCACCAATTCCCGGCGTCAAAACGTACGGACCTTTTAATGGTTCTTAAATTTGTGGGGCTAAGCAGTCATTCCGAGCTGGCCACGCTCCAGCGAGAAGCTTCGCCAGACAAGTTCGCCTTTTCGGGCCTGATTCGATCGACATGGTCCTCCTGAATTTTTTACATGTTGGTCAAAAGTTGATGGTGTTCTGCATGTTGTGGGCAGCCAGAATCCTTTAACAGCCAGATTTGACGGTGTAGGGATGAGCTTATCTGGCCTCTCCGGACGTACTGGCGTCTCCGTTGCTCTTAGCTTTCTCAAGAGAGCACGGGGACTGTAAAGTTGCAAAGTCTTGAAAGGGCGTGACGAAAGCGAACGTCTGAGGTGCACGTGACGTTGATGGCGCCACAAGCAGACGCAGTTTCGCTTCTGATGCCATTGTGGTCGATATCCTTGCAAAGAGACTTCAAGCTGTCAGTTTTGATCGGCGCTGTTGTGCTAAGCTTCATGCAGACGGATGTACTGACCAAAGCAATTTCTTGACGGAGGAAGAAAATTCACACCCGCTCCTCTTTGTTTCCATTTATAAGATTCGCTGGAATGCGGCTTTTGTCGCTTGCTGGAGTCTACTTAGGTCGACCATGAGCCCCGAGAATCACGAAATAGTTGGGCTGATATCCAGGGACGAAAAGCGTTGGAGACTGACCCCTAATACTTCTCCCACAATGTCCCGCCTCTTGTGGGCTCCAAACCCTCCTTCCAGCCGATCGTGGGTGCCTGTCAGTACCCAGATTGCCGACGCTTTTGGCGAAACAGGTGACCTCGAGTTCGTCATTGCTCTACAGCCGGATCGAACAAGTTGCCGCATTGCTGATCCTTTGGAAAGTCATGATGCACCGTCATAGCTGGGGCGCGAATGTTCACTCAATGCCTCACGCACGTGTGGGATTGTCGTGCTGATGCTTCAAAGTCCCCTGATGTCGTGGCAAAACGATTCGAAATACTTTCTCAGGAGACACCGACACTAATCTGTTGATATCGGTTGGATATACGCGCGCGCTAAGGTTTCTTTCAACCAGGACCTCCTCGAAAGTCGCCCAGAAGATTCATGTTGGGCCGCTGCTTTGAGGAATCTGTTTTCTCAGCGGCGATTTGTCTGCACTTCTCAGGCTAGTTTATAAACGGTTGATTGCTACAGTTGCTGTTCTTCCAACTGGACGAGCTCGATTGTATGGTGCCACCTTCGTTTCCCCGGCGTCAAACCTGTGCATATATCACACGTTTGAATCCTTGAATGCTAACCCATTGAATCTCGTTCTTACCAAATAATGGACACACTTGTTAGAAGAGCCACCGAGTTGCAAGCGGCGATGAAGAGTACCACTTTCTGAGAGACCCTCACCTCTGGTTGTCCATCATTTGGGCTCCGATGCTGCTCTATTCCCAAACCTGTTGTTCTTGGAAGACCGCGTTTTTGGTTGTGCGCGTTTGGAAATCTTCTGGCGACCTTCGCAGATGATCAGGTCCGCGCAACACACTCCGAGGCCGACGTCGTTTTCTAAGGCTGCATACATGACGCCCTCTCTTACTGTCAAGAAACAATTCTTGGTAATAAGAGCCCGCTCTTTGAGGTGCATGCAACTCTCAGTTGACTTACTACTTTGAACTCAAAAGCTTTGTTTTATTCTCTCCAGCATCTCGCAGTTACAAAACACTTTGGTAAATCCGATTTGTCTGGCTGTGATGCACCCAAAGAAACGGGGGGGCAGTTTGTGCTTGCCTCAAATGAATTCGACATCCCGTGCATGCTGATGCTTTCTTTCTTGTTCCCTAAGCTGGCGTTCCAGGTCAAGATTCGAATACTTAAGTAGCATTTTTGGCGTCTCGCGCCTAGATTACATAGCCGCTCGGTCGACGTGATACTTTTTTGCGTCTGGTCTGAAGTTCGTACTCTCTCTGTTTCATCAGTAAGCGCTTGTACGCCAAGCAGGCTTGTCGCAGCTCAGTGTTAACGTAGTGCTGCAGCCCTCTGCGGTCGTCTGGTGCTTTGATCATCCAGCTTGAGTAGGTCGCTTTGGTCGGGTTGGTGATATGGTCGGGGCGAGCTAAAAACGTTAGAAGACTTCGTCC